GAAGCTGAAGAAGTGCGTCCTGCTGATGACCCACACAGACTCCTAAACATTGACATTGACAAGTAAGAACACATCATGTGAAATACACTTTCTTTGGCAATGATTGTGTCTCTGTTGTGAAAATACACTCAATCTTAGCAATTTCCTTGGCAATGATTGTATCTCTGCTGTGACACAAGTTGTCAAGACAATTATTATAGCCCTGTAGCCCTGTAGCCCTGTAGCCCTGTAGCCCTGTGCAATTCTTCTGCAACTTGTGTTGCAGCTTCATTGTACTGGACAGAAGACCTGATTTAGGCCTAATTCCCAAGCCATGATGCAATTCTGTGTCTCCCCTAAATATACTACCTCTAAATTGAATACATGCAACACAACAATCAATAAGTTTTTGATGGTAGTAGAAAAACATCATAACATGAGAGAGAACCACACAAAATGGTGTCTGGTTTTGGAGTAGTGGAAGCAGGACCCACAGTGACAGGCTTGCACTCAAACTAACCTTGCTGACAATTCACACAACTTTGTTAAATGTTAACCACGTTTATGTGTTTACTGAAGCTTGTGAATTGTGACTGTCTAGAGGTGCCCTTGATAATAATAATAATTTGATTAGTATTTGAAGTACATATTTATATAATTAACAATTAGACCTTGAGGACGAGTGGACTACAAGCTAATAGCCCATGAGGCTGAGTCCGCGAAGCCGAATGGGCTATTAGCTCGTAGTCCACAATACCGAGAGGTCTAATTGTTTTAGTATTTAAACATACTAATCGGTCAGATAATGAAAACAAATTGAAATATCCTTAAAATAATTTATAATTTATTTATTTTGATTTTCCCGCGAGTGGTCTGTCACAAATTAGACCATTAGTAGAGTAGCCAATCACAGTACAGTATGAGTGATGACCATTAGTATGTTTATACTAATATGATGTGTATTTGTTGTAGGCCGTTAGAGAGTGGTGAAGTGCTTCCAGTAAGAACACACAGAGTAGTCAGTCCGATTGCTGAACATGCAGACGAACAGGAATCTGACAAGGTTTGTAACTTTGTTAGTCTTGTATCAAAAGAAGTCTTGGCTGCTATTTATACGTAAAGGGGTTTAAAGAAAGACAACGATTTACAAATAGCAATATCAAGGCTTCATTTGATAAAATCCTAATAATACGCATCATGCTTCTAACGAATAACTTCATGTTTTGTAACTATGTTACTACATTGATTAAACAAAATTAATGTGTCACTACTCCATGATAATGAATGATAATGATTATAGGCATGAAATGATTGTCATATTCAGTGATGATAATGGTTGATATGGAGGTAATTAGTCACATTATTGCTGGTAATAATGATAAAGATTTTAATTTTGCAGGAAAAGAAACCCAAAAAACACCATTCAAAAAAAGACAAGAAGGTACCAACAATATTGCAACTAGAATCATTGTGTGATGTTTTGACTGATAAGGTATTTACAAAGGTTGCCAGCATTTCATGCAATGTAGCAATGCTCTCAATAATTCTTAAAGCAATTTTTTTTTGGTATTTGCTTGACAACTTAAGGAAATAAACTGTTATCCTTCACAAGTTTGTAAGGTTTCTTGTGATTGGAGGAATAAAACAATGCTCATTGTTTTCTCGTTCTTTCTATTGTTTTCTTTTATTTAACAAATAGCTAGTAAACCAATCAGATAAGATCTTGCAAAACTGTGAAGAG